TAGAGCCAAACTCTCTTTTGTTCCGCACTGAGGAAAAAGAATAACAAAGGCAAAGTCATGTGCCAGTGAGAAATTTGCTAAACTGGTAGCAGCTGCCATGTTAGGTAGATAGCAGGTGTTTATCCTGACTGGAGCTTCACCTTGCCATCTTTTTATGAGCCAGTCATTCCCAGTCTGCAAGGGATATGATACGAAAATGGCTCTGAAAATTGGCCTCTTCTCCTCCTGCTCCTCCTCCTCCTGCTCCTCCTCCTGCTCCTCCTTCTCTTGCTCCTTGTTCTCACACTTTTCTTCCTCCTTTTTCTTCTTCTTTTGTAAGAAAGGCTAATATTAATTGTTATAGTGTACAGTATGAGACACACACACACACACACACAGAGAGAGAGAGAGAGAGAGAGAGAGAGAGAGAGAGAGAGAGAGAGAGAGGTGGAGAACACCAATAGTGTGTTGTATTTAGGCTTTGGAGTCAGAAAGGCCTATGTTTAATTTTGACCCTGAATATAAACACTAGTTTGAAAGCTCAAGGAAATCATTGAAGCAATTTGGTCATTCCCTGTGAAATTGGAATGCAATTTATAAATTTATATAAATCAAATGACCCACTGTGAAGAGAACATCTGGAAACTTTTATCATACAAACACAATATTCAATATAGTTGCATTTTTCTCCTATTAAAAGGCCGAATTAGAAAGGCAAACTTAAATCAGAATATACAAAAATGGTGTGTGTGTGTGTGTGTGTGTGTGTGTTTGTGCGCGCGTGTATGAGAGAGAGATCTTAGAATGAATTAAGATGCTGACCATAGCTTTTCCAGTTGGCTCAAATTCCCCTTCCACCAAGATCAGAATGATATAATTAACTGTAACATCTTCCAAAAATGGATGATGTACTTAAGAAGCAGTGTATTCTATTAATGATCTATCTCCTATTTATAAACATGATATACTGATGTAATAGTGATTTTAAAATGTGTCCAGACGTATGGAAGTTAGTGTAATTTAATGGGAAGGATATGCTGCAGAGACATCTAACCTGTCTTACTTTCTAACTGTGGTGAAGTAGCTAGGATCTAGGACCACTTTATCTACTTTTTTTCTACACTATGTCTGCTTTTATTGTCAGGAATTTGGGCTACGTGAGAATTGCCACTTCCACGGGTAGACAGGTAAAATTATGATCTCTTGTCCAAAAAGGAGGGAAATATTATCTGTAACCATCCAAGGTACCCAAATGATAGTGGAAACATTTATTGTAATTTAGAACTGCCCAAACATTCAGATTCTGAGTATCCATTTCATTTTTAAAAAACAGAATGGTTTGAAAATATGCAAGAATTTTACTTAAAAGCTCAGTCTGGCCAAATTGTTCTACTTTACCTAATATAGCATATTAACTGTTGTATCTGCTCATATATACGTGTGTGTGTGTGTTAAAGATAAGAGTACTTCAATTATTGAGGTAAAAACACTTTAGAGACATCTGAAAAAATAGATAATATCTTCAAAATGAAAGCCTGCCGCAAGATTTATAGTAATTTTGTGACACTGAATGGATGCGTCAATTGTTTGGAAAAATAGCTGATAAGTATTTGCTGTCAATATTGTCTTTATAGATGTATCAACGTTGGGAGAAGAGAAAAGGATTGCACAAAAGAAATCATACATGACCCTTGTAATCTTTTGAGTCTTTGCCATAAAGATCAGTACAAAGTAAAGATTATAGAATTCATAATAAGAAGGCAGAGTGTGTTTCTGACTTTACAACTTTTTATGCATAGATTTTGAAAGCCTGGATCAATATGAGTACCTTTGTAGTATTCTGGGCCAAGTGGTGCTTTTCTCACATTGGGTACCTTTTATCTCCTAGGTGGGTTTTTTTCATTTTGGCCAATTTTATGTGACCCCAGTTTGTCTGGATCACGTCATCTGGACTACGATGTGCAACACATCTAAATCTTTCTGAGTTCAGGACTAGCCAGTTGTTTTAATACTTCGATCATCCTAACTGATGTCTTTACACACTTCTCTCTGTTGGTCAGTGCTTACTTATCCTCACTCGGTCTCCTAGGCCTCACATACTGCCCCTTTCAGGCTAAGCGATTGACAATCCCAATTCACACCTTTCAGTATTACTATTTATTTTGTTATTTCATTAAATTTGTGATTCTTCTCTGTTGGACTGTCCCAGCACAGGAGTTTTTCATATTGGACAGAGGTGGAGATACTGGTCAAACAGAGCAAAGTAAAGTGAATTATTAAAGAGCTAAGATCTGCGTACGAAATTTCCCCTCTCATCCTTAACAACAATACTGATCAAACCTTTGAGTACCAACATCATGGAGATAAACCCTGACAGATATTGTTAAGCGTGAACTAAAGTCATTTGAAAACAACACCAAACAAAAGAGAAGGTCGTTTCTCTCATTTTGTTCTCTGCTAGAAAGTTCTGTACCTGAGATCCCCGGAGTCTTTGTGGCAAAATTCTAGGTTTCCGTGACTTTTGAAATTGTATTTTATACTGCATGAGCACCTGTGAGATTATGTCTAGCTTTGAGAGGGTTTGTTGTTCTCAGAAATCCCAATATATTGTTGTTTTAATTTACCCCAATATAGCTTAAAGACCCTTCCCCCCCTACATACTGAGGCCACGATATTAGATTCGAGCCAGCACATTTAAGAAAAGACTCATAATAGAATGTTGATAAATAAGAATTCCAGTCCATATGTAACAGCTCTGTTCCTTCTATGGGTAACAGACTTATTCTATTACTCAGCAAACTTTGTAATGAATGACATCATTCCTCTATGGTTACTCATAGAGTCCTGCCTAACTGTCCACCAACCAACCAGTCAGAAGGTGTAGGCGGAAGATGCGTTAGAGACCAGCATGGTGTCAGTTCAAGCGTGCACTCAACAATTGCAGAGCCCCTGCTGGCAGGTTACCCTTATCTTGGTGAATGAAAAAAAAAAAAAAAAACGCTGACATCTACTACCTTGAAACTCACCGTAAGAACATTTATCTTGTATGTTGAGTCTTTCACGCCTAGAAGACTACACAGCACATCATACAGGCACAGCTAATAACTATTAGGTGAATCAATGCAACCTACCACAGAGATTTGTATTACGAATGTCAAGATGATATCGTCACACAAACAACATGTTCACAGTTGCTGATTGGATGATGCTTTTCAATTTAGAGAGTACTGCTGAACAAAAGTAATTGAGATCCAACTAACTATGCACGTTTCTGACCTGCAAACTTGACTCAATAGGGAAAACAAACTGAAGGGTGAGTATGACACAGCTGCAAATCTTTCCGTACTTGATTGACACTAGGAAGCACTGGGTTAGGACTACAGGGGAGAAAGACTACCTCTCCACCACATCCCTTCCTTAGCAAGCAGTAATGGTGATGGCAAAGGACTGGGAAAATGGAAAGCATGCTGCCCAACCACAGATACCCATCATGCTCCATCAGAACATACAAAGCAGGCAAGCCCCTCATCCAGTTTAAGCTAATGATTCATCTGTCTGCTTTCCCTAGACCTCAGAGGGTAGCTCAGTTGGGTACAGCTGAGACCAATGTCAGCAGCTGGATCCCTGCAAACAAAGTGCCAAGCTCAAAAGAGGCAAGGTTTTTCAACGGGTTCCAACTACTAAATTGTCACTTACATTGGGGAATGAGATGTGTCTCTTTAAAAGTCCTGAAGAAGTTATGTGGATTTTTATATATAGGTGACCTGTTAAATTAATAAATGTGCATTTTGATATTCTATGGTGGTCTTTCCTGTTCCATTATCTCCATAAAGGAGCACAGACAGCCCCTCACACATAGTTTTCTTCTTGAGAAACACCTGTCTTGAGAGTTCTTGGAGGCAGAGCTTCTGAGTACACACAGGGTCAAGCACACAAATGGTGCAGTGAGTCTTTTGGAAGTCACATTTGTCCCTGAGACTTCAGTCACCTGCAGACTGCATGCCTCATTGGCTGTACCATATCAGGCCTGACAGTGGAGAGTGAGTTTAGGAATCTCATGGAGTGACAGAGAGTCCAAACAGCAAACTCCATGTAATGTTGAAATGCCTTGTTCTTTCTGCTGATTGTGGACTTTTCCCTTCCTTTTGGTTACTTGGCAGCTATAATCAATCTTCTCTGGGTTTGGGATATTTTATGGGAAAGGAAGGGCATACTAAGTAAACCTACGTTATCCACTAAATATGTATCCCTATTCAGAGTCATAGAAAACCCCCACTACCTTTGCTATGCAAACACACACACACACACACACACACACACACACACACACACAGAGTTCCTGGAATCCCTGACACAATCATAACCCACAGACATAACCACAGGGCAGCAAAATTCCATGACCATCCCAGTCAAAAATCAAGCCAGGCTGAAGATGCAAAAAAGGTGGAGATGATACCAGGTGGATGTGTAATCAGTAATAAGAAATACATCGAGCCCCATTATGAAAAGAAATCCCCCAGTTGCTCAGGACCCCCCTCCCCCTTCCATCCACTGATTTATTAACCCTGAACAAAGATGTAACTGCAGGGTCTCAGAAACTTTTTTTTTCTTTTTCTTTCGTTTTTGGCATTTGATTTGGCTTTGAATTTCTTCTTCTCTAGTTATACCATTCATTGCCCATTTTCTTTGCTCGGTTGCCCATCATTTCCGTTCCACCCCTCCAGAAATGAAAGAAGCCTTAGCTTCTGAGCCTTAAGGATGAGACCTCTGCATTTTCTTTGCTTGTTTAGGGCAAGAAATGAAGTGCCGCCTCTTTTAAGTGGCTGAAGCATGCAGGAGGAGCATACCTTTAATTTAGTGTTGGGATACCTTACTTGCACCCTGGCTGTAGTCTTATTGGAGACGGCAGCCTGCCTGAGATCCTCTAGCACTGAAATAATATCATCCAGCACGCATTTCTTATCCTGATTTCTCAACACACACAGATGGGAAAAAGTATAATTATAGCCCTTGTGGTTCACCTTCATTTCCATCACGGCTCGGTGGGTCTGCAGGATCCCCTCAGCCTGGAGCAAAATATTGTCCCCGGGTGGGGAGAGGAGGATCACCCTGCCATACCTCCCAGGGGTGTGTAAGTCCGAATAGAGCTGGCTTTTGGACTGGTCCAGGGGGAATAGGCTGCTGGCTAGGCTGCGCTCGATCTTGGCTAGGCTGTGGCTGGGAGCAACCAGGCGCTCCAGGTCGCCCTCGGTCTGGAAGCGGTTGAGCGCGCTGAGGCCGAAGGTGATGGTCAGGACTGCCGGCACGGTGAGGAAAAAGACCGGGTGCCGGCTCACGCATAAGCCCAGCCTGTGGCAGAATGACTGGAGCCCTCTGCGAAGCACCTGCCGCAGCATCCTCCACCAGATCCAGCTCGCAGGCGCTCCCGGCCGTCTTAAAAAGCACATGTGACATGTGTAAGCGCTGGGGTTACCCCTCTCTCCCCCATCCCATTCCCTCCAGGGATCAACCCCCCCTCCACCACCCGCCTCTGCCGCCGCCTCCTCCCCGCCCCCTCCCCGCGCACACCCCGCAACCGCTCCGCCCGGTCTTCCCCCGGCCCCACCTCCATGCGCTCTTACTACTCTTTCAAACACTGCAGCAAGTTGCAGTAAGGCCGGCAAGTCTCGGGAGCGCGCGTGGGGCCCGGACGGCGGGCGCTGCGGGGAGTGGCGCCCCCCCCTACTCGGTGTCCCTGGCCTCCCCGCGCCCTGGCTGGCCGCGCGCGCTGCCTCTCACCGCATGAGCCGCGTCCCCTCGCTCTAGCCCTTCTTCATGTCGCTGCTGCAGTCCCCCGGCCTCCCTCGCAGGAGGTAGCGGTTCTGTGCGGAGCGTCCCACAGATGTGGATTTCCTCTCGGTCTCGATGGGGTTCGGTGTCTTACTGGGACCATGTGCCTCGCGGTGTTGTAAGAAGCAGACATGTGCCCCGTGGCGCGGAGAGAGGGCGGGAGTAGAAGAAGGGGGGTGGTGGTGGTGGCAGCGAAGCTTTTCTCTATTTAAGATGCTGACAGTTATTTTTAGAGTTTTGTTTTCCTTGTCCTCCGGGCTGTAATGAATGGGAGACGTAAAGGGTGAAGGCGCTGCTGGCCCATTGGAGCAGGGGCCAGCAGAACCTAGGAGGGAGTGGCTCCACGCCTCCTCCAGGGGGCAGATTTCAAGCTCCTCTTAATGCCCCGTGCCCTCGAATTCTGTCTTTTGGCCAAAGAAAAGGGAGCAGAGAGGATGATGCTGCATTTTTAACATTCCACAAAGCATGCAAGGGCTTTCCTTGCAACACTTTCCAGGCTGCCTGGCCACACACTGGTCCCTTGCCAGAGACCCCCAACCTATGCTGGTGCTTGGGGCTCTCCAGATCCCTCCCTTTTTTGCTCTGGAGGTTGGGAAGGAAACATTTGTAGTGTGTAGTGTGTGTGTGTGTGTGTGTGTGTGTGTGTGTGCATGTGTGTGTGTGAGTGAGTGTGGCTTCTTCCTAAGTGTTACACACATGTTCTCTGAGGATTCAGGACCTAATTCTGGCATTTGCCTCCTCTCTTTATCTCCCCCCTCCCCACACACCCATTACCCCACCCCCTGTCCGCTTACTTATCACAGACACTTCAGGACATATAGCTTAGGCTAATTTTCTTCTGTCAGGAGAATTTCAGAAGCAAAAGTTTCAGACACAGTGGACAATTTCTCCCAAAGAAAGGGAGCTAGGTGGGTAGGGGTCAACATACTGCAGATCTTACAGAAAACAATTCAGTGTCCATCATAGAGAAAGCAAGCTCTCCCATGCCCCAAAATGTGCAGGCCAGGAACTTCCATCAGCCGACTAGATCAATTTCAAACATGCGTGTGTAGTTTTAAATCTGCTGGGTATTCATAAGTTCCTGAGTGGGAAAAACACAAAACACAACAAACAAAAAGAAGACGAAGAAATACTGAGAACAAATTGTGCGATTTGATTGTGAACTGATTTTCCCAGTTCAGAATGACTTCCATAAAGAAGACAGAGTCTCAATGGATGCTTTGTGCTCGCTTTCTTAGTAACAACCAGGGACCCATTTTCCATTAGATGCTTAGAGGGGCGCACATCCCAGCACACAAACAACTAACAGGCTCATCTTCTAAGGAGATACTTTATTTATTCATTTGTTTTTCTTAATTAGAAGTGATCCCTTAGCTAAGGCAGCAAATTAAAAAACAAACAAACAAACAAACAAAAACAAACAAAACGAAAAAGCAGCCTAGTTTAGGAGTAAAGATACCATTCATGGACCAGAATCTATAGGACTGTGTAAATAAGATTACATAAAGATTCCAGTTTTATAAAACTAAAAACAATCTTGATGGCTCTGTAGGAAAATAGCTTCTGAAATATCCTTGGTGGTTCACTGGCCAGCTTAAGCTACAACCTTCTTCACATCAAAGACCTTTCTAATTTTCTAAGAAGGTCATTCGACTGTTAGACAGCCACCTGTGTTCAGCTGAACTCAATGTGTTTACCACACTCTTTCTCCTTCAGAGGGAAGCCTTTTTTGTTTTCAACTATCAGATTACAATACCATTTATAATGTGTTCCATTGGTGTCCCAGGACCTAAAACTTTCAGCTTTGTATCAGGGCTGTATGAGATGGCTCAGGGGTTAAGAGCATTTGTCATTGCAGAAGCCTGGGTTCAGTTTCCAGCACCTACCATGTGGCTCACAATCATCCTTAATTCTGGTTCCGTGGACGCTATTATCCTCTTCTGACCTCCAAGTCACCAGGTATGCACACAATGCACACGCGTGTCTATACACACATGCATATTCACTCATATGCACATCTTAAATAATATGTATTAAAATAACAATTTTCTTCGCTATCTTTATTATATTAAATATACTTGGTCATATTCTTTGTATGAAATACAACGGTAAGATTTGGGAATGGGCGCTGCTGAATAAGTTCCCTATTTCATTTTGTAAACAGGAGAGGAGGGAGATAGGGGACTTCCAGGTGACACTGAGAGTCATTACTGAAGCTGGGAACCTGGGTATTTTCTGTTTGGTGAATCATGTTTGTCCTGTTTCCAACAGTAGACATCCAGGCCACTTCTCACAATACACAAGGATGTCATAATTATTTCTCCCCAGCTTTCTCTTTGCACTTGCTTAATTTCCTTGCCTAATAGATTCATCATAATTAGGTTGGAAAAGATTACAGTATATAATTGACTAAAACTATAAAGTATAAAGACTTGCTAAAATGAGTGACTTATAGATACACATCATGTAGAATTATAATTCATGGAAATACATTTTGCCACTGTTAAGTGAAAATTATATACCCTATGAAGTCAAACGGACTTTGATTCGTTATTAATTGAATAGACACATATATAGATTTCTTCAGCTTCTAACTCATGCTCCTTTTCCGTCCCAGGATCCCATCTGCAAATCCACATTGTGTTTAGTGTTCCCATTGGCCTCTTCTAGTTGTGACAGAGTCTCGGAGAGTCCTTGCTTTTGATTGATCTCCTGGGAAGTTTTGAGGAGAATTCATGGGGTCCTTTTAGAATTTTCCCCTAATTGAAATTACAGGGTATTTTTCTCAGGAAGAGACAGAGCTTAATGAAGGAAGAACACAGTGGTAAAATGCCGGTTTTGTATCACATCAAGGGTGTGCTCTATCAGTGTGACTCTTAATGTGAACGCAACTGCTTGCCTGAAGCCATGTCTATCAGCTTTCTTTGTTGTGAAACCGCCATATTCCATAGTAGATTTTTAAGAGGGAAATTCCTACATGCATCTACACTAGAGGGCTGGAGACTTACCTCTGCCTCCTTCTGCCTTGAAGTTGGGTCTGCAAATCCTTTGAAATTCTTCTGTGAAGGATACTGGTCTATTTTAAATTATTATTTTATTTACCTCGATATAAACCTATAGATATTTCTTTATACTTTGGATTGTAATTATAGACAGTTTGATGGTTTGAATTATCCCGAGTTTAGCTCTTGACCACATTTTCAGTTGCCCCTTTGACTCCTGTATCCGTTTGACATATTCTATACTTATGGGATGTCCTTTTTCTCTCTTTCAGAAAAGCATTCATTACTTTATAATTCTACAAGATGTTCCAATCCCATCTTTGGTCTTTCATGACTGGTCCTAAAGTTAGCTGTCTTTTCTAGAGGTCTTGAATGTTTTTGTTCTGCTTACATTCTTTTAAGAATCATATCAGAAACACAGGTTTGGCTGCTTGCTTTCTGATTATCATTCTCTTTAGCATCTCTCAGTAGACAAAGATGGATATAGGTATATACACATCCTACACATATGTACTTTGTTATTATGATAAGTTAATAGTTTATATTAACACAAAAGGATTTACATTGAAGGGTCCTGTTATAATATGGTGCCAAACAGATCACTGTAGTCCATCTTTCTTGCTAATTTGTAAGCTGAATTCCACAGTAAAAACCCTGGCTTTTAAGGTGATTTTCAAACTGGTTTTTAAAAAAAATATGATAAGATATATCAATTCTTATTAGGAAAAATGTTTACAACAAGAAGAAAGAGCCTAGTTTTCCCTACTTTTGATACTTTTGAGAACCTAACATTAAAAACTACCAGAGATTTATTAGAAAGACAAATTGTGTGCTAGGAAGGAAGAATGTCACAAGTTATCAACCTATACAAAGTTAATCTTCACCAAAACATCAGTGGATGTCAGTCACCTGTTAATTCTTACAAGCATGTTTTAAAAATAAATCTTAGTAGAAAGCTAAAAGCAATTGTATTTAGGGGCATATTAGTAACAACACAATAATCAATAATGTTTAATTCACATAGCTTTCAGTTTTTAATGTGTTGGTCAATATCAGTTCTCAAGATTTGAGGCTAAATTAGAATCTATGTGATGGTTCCTTTGTGGAAAGGACACCTGGGGACACAGAATGTTTCCCGAACTCACTTCCTGGTTGTTATAGGTGAGGCACTTGATTCTCAGATTCTCACTTTTCCTTATTTGTAAACCGGAATCCCATTAACCCACTTACTCAGGGTGAACACTCACCAGAATGCTGCAGATCTGCTGAGCTAATCCTGTAACAGTAGCAATTATAAGAAACCTCCAAATCTCATCAGTTACAAAGCAGAATTTTACATGGTGATGGAAGTTAACATTTACTGTGGATATTTTTGGTTGGCTGTGTGCTTCTATGTTCATTTACTTTCAACTAGTGATGTTCAAGGTCATTTCCTAGCCAAGCAGATGAAAGGGACACAAGCCTGGAGGAGCACATCAGGGAGGTGTAATGGCTTGCTAGAGTGGCAAGTATCTCTTTTGGTACATTGCTCAGATTAGCACCTAATATCCTTTGGGAGAGTGATACAGTGTAGCTATGGGTCTCAAAACAGGTAATGAGTACAAGGGCCAGGTTGCAAAATCTCTTAACATCTTTCTATATTC